TTGCGCGTCCGGATTCGCCACTCACAGGGCGGCCACAACCTAATGCATATCCTGCACTCTTTACCTGTGCTTGAAGGCATTACAGTAGACTGAAAAAGCTCAGTGCTGCAATGGTTTGCTTTGAGCACCCAAAAGAACACGCCGTACATGAACACAGACTGATGTGTAATCCTGCATGAAACAACGTGGTGTAGTATAGAAGATGGGCTCGAAAACATTTTTGTATGAAGTGGAGTTGTCCATAAAGGCCGTTAAAATGCATAATGCAGTCTTTATTGTCAATGCAAGTGGAACAGATCCAATCAAGTTTCTTAGCTGCATGTACACATGACAACGGCATGTAGTTGTGTGGACTCAAAAACACTCATTCTTAATAAGGGGTTAGATACATTAAATTGACCCCAATAAAAGAGTTCTCTATGATGGTACTGAAAAATGTCTATTAGCCCAAGATCATAGTCAATAACAATGTGCAGATGGTTTAAAATTAAAACTACACACTGTGGTAATGTCAAAACAATAAACTGTATGTACACTGATACTTCAGTATAAAGGGTGTCCACAAAAACAAAAAAAACACACAAAAAAAAACCATTGAGTTAAAACCCCTAACTGCAATATGTCACACTTAGGAGCTAAAGTCACATGATTTCATCATGTGGTATCGAGGGGAATTCCAGACAATGAATGCATGCCGTGATTTGAATAAACATCGCTGCCTTTTTTTTTTGTTCATACTCAGTATAATGTGGAGTGGTCGTGCATATCGCTTCAGTGATATATATTTCTTTTTTTTCAGCTCAACCAGGGTTGCTGGAAGATATTCTATGGCGCTTGCAGAACACCTGGTCGTCTTGTCCAGCACAGACAATCCATCTGTTTGGCAGGTGCTCATAGAGAAAAATCCTTCTGCTCCCCATGCCACAGGAAATTATATGAAATCATGCAACTGTAGAGACTAACTGAAAAATGTATTAAAGTTACGTCTTATAAAAATCTTGTGTCTTTCAACCTTAAAGCCAAACGCAACTTTCTTGTTGAATATGGCATTACCTCATTCACACGATGATGTCAAACCCAAACACGACAATGGCTTGCACATTTATACACGATTGACACAGCTTAAGAAATTACTCAGTATTGCGTACCCTTTTTAAGGAATCTTCCACAAGACTGACTGTGAACTCGGAAGGAAGCCGGAACCTGTAGCAGCAATGTAATAAGGCTAGACGATTAATGGAAAGAAGAAAAAAAAAATCACGATCATTTTGATTGAGATTTAAATCACGATTAACAAAACAATTATTATTGATTTCAAAACTTTGTATTTTTTTTTTCAACGACTAAAAAGCCCATTTACGTTTGCACGTCGAACACTATTCGTGAACACCTTATTGTTTTTGTCAAGTACAAAATGACATCGTGAATTTGTAAAATTCAAACTCATGCTGCGAGATCCACACTTTTGACACCTTGCATTTTTGCACAATTGAAGCTGTGAATTATCTCTTTATCATACTTATTTTATCTTATGTTATTTTCACAAGTCCTTGGATTTACTGGGCTAATTAATGGACCTCATGGGTTGTGCCATGTCATGTGCAAAAAAAAAAAAAGTTTGCCTGCGAATATTCGTTATTTGAAAGACTATCATGACCCAAGTCGATACTGTACTCATTTCCTGTTAGCATGTCGATGGTATATTACATTAGATAATGTAATGTAACGTATAAAAATGTAAACACATATTAGGGCCAAGACCAATTTCTCAATCAAATCATTACTTACCAATGACCAATCTATGAAGTGCATACAATTGAATTTGTACATTTCAGAGATCATAATATCCATGACAAACTGGATTCCATAATCTTTTTGACCCTGTATGCTGCATGTAGGTACCCAACATCCTGTTTGGTCTCCGTTGTTGCTTATGGAGATGAACACAATGCAAGGCAACCTACCAATCACGAGAAGGCTGAAGAAAATGGTCAACCCGTTGGACTGCTCTTCTTCTTGAGCCTGGACGCCCGTTTGCACGGGCAGAATGGCCTTGGGATTTGGGGGCGCTGGCATTGTTGGCTTGGTTGATGATGATGTGAAGTGGATGGACTCATTTGCGCGGTTGTCTGTGTCATTAGTCTTGCTACAAGGAAAAAGGCAGAACAGTTTGAGTGGCGGGTGAAGCTAGTTTTACTCAAGAAACATTTCTTCAAAATTTTACTCGAAACATACTTTCTCCATTTCCTTGAGGATTTTTGTTAAGCAGAGACAGTACTTCTACTATGTTGCACTGAGCTACATTTTGATTGCTACTTATATTTTTATCCACAGGTATTTATTACTGCTTGTGCACTCTATTTTGAGAGGTGAGACAGACTTGTGTCACATGACTGTTTCGCCAATCCAACATAACTAGTAATGTCTGACTCCATTTGAAAAAAGAAAGAAAAAAACAAAAAACAAATCCAGACCTCTGCTAGGGTGATATACCATCTAAGTCAGGGGTGGACAACCAGTCAGAGACTAGGAGCCAATTTTTTTACTGTGCTACTGCAAAGAGCCACACATATACACGCGCGCGCACATATGCACGCACACACACACTTTTTTGCCCAAAGATCGACTTTTGGAGCGACCAACCTCCCACGTGCAAGCATATGAACACGCACACACACACACACGCACACGCACACGCACGCACACACACAAACGACTATGCAATCGCGCACATATGCATGCACGCCACCATGAGCAACAGCCGGAGCGCCCAAACATAGATGAAACCTAAAGACACAAACACACAAATCTTTTTTTTCCCCCCATTTTCTACTCCCACCGCTCGCGGTTGACTTGGGACCAGTCTGTTGGCTCTTGGTCGATTGCGATCGACGTATTGGGCACCCCTGCCTTAAAAACACAGGTAATTCGCTGACTAGCTTAGCACTTAGCGCCGTTGTCTGCGCATGAGCAGTGATTCAGTCATCTGATTGGTTGCCCTCTATGTCTATCAAGTAACGGGATTGATGATAGGCTGACGTAGTAAGTTCTGTGCGCCATCCCCAAGGCGTTTTCGACAACTGTCGTGTGAAAGCCCGAGAGCCGCATTGAACCAGCCAAAGAGCCGCATGTGGCTCACGAGCCGTGGGTTGGCCACCACTGATCCAAGTAGTTTGACTTGCATTGCTTACACAATGCCAAAGAGATGATACATTTTGGAGGCACTGACTAGAGAAAGGAATTTAGTTTTGACACATGGGTAACCTGTTTTGGGAGAGCTATAAACTTTTGCGGGTGATCCATAAACATCCAGATAATTTTGGGCAAAACCATGAAGTGAATACAGAGAAGGCAAAGCAATTGACAATGATCTTTGCTGTTTTGATGGTACTTACTCCAGATATGGGAAAAAGATCTTGTTTTGAAGTGTGTGTGAACAGGTTTGGGAGATACGTGAGAGTTTGCTAATGAGCTGTACTGTTGTGCAACGCTACAATGCTGTTTGGCCAAATGAGAGGTGGTAGTTTTAAGAATGTCATTTCTGTTTCAAGAAATGAGCCACCCCAAAAGAGGAAAACGTTGCATTTCAATGGGCGTCAATTATACGCACATTTTGTCCAGTCGTGGGCTGGGCCAGTCCCAATACCAGGTGAAAAGTGGAGATGGACTTGACAGTAAATAAATCACTGAAAGAATCTGGATAAATTGGTCCGCCTTCTGATCGGATTTGTGATTGGTTATCAATTTGAATTTGTATTTGTAACACTGTATGGGGAAAATATACAGAATAGAAATGTTGAAGAATTCAAATTCTGTATGAATTCATAACAGATTCAAATAAACAATGCAAATTCATTTCGTGTATTCAGATTCAGTTTTTCAAGTTTAGTGATTTAAATTCAAATAGAAATTATTCAGATTCAGTTTCTGGTGGCACATATTTTAGCCCAAAAATTACATCCAACAATGACACACATACGTAGCCTTCGAGTGGTTTCGTCCATCCGGTATTGTTTTTTTTTCCTTAGCAACATATTGAGAGCTATAGGCTTCTCCACAAAGGACTTAAATTAAAACCATAAGCTCAAACCTGACAGTCGCTATGTCTTCGGATCGCTCAAGTAAATCGCGAGCCTCTTCAGTGTCATGTTTGGTTGATGAAAGCCGGTTGTCAGAAAGAGCATAATCCTTATGGAAAGCGTCTCTTCCCTCGTTATCTCGCTGGAACACATGCAAAGTCTTTACTGTCTCTGTTCGTACTGACAAGCACGGGTAAAGAAACAAAACTAATACCAACAACAGAACGTAAACTCTAGTATTTGCCATTATGTCAAAACATCAGTCCAAACAAGAAAACGAACGTTTGTGCTTAAAAAGTCGAGCACTTCCATGTCGACGACGCCATACCCGTTTTAACGGTATAATTTAACTTCCGGAGTATATGTTTCTGGGAGTAGTAGTTCTACGTATACACGCATGCGCAGCAAATACAGAACAATGTAGTTTAATTTGCGCTTCGCTCTTAAAATATGGTATTCGTGTCTTTGTATATTAATTGAGGGTGAACTTAAGTGGTTATGAGTTTTTTTTTAAACCAATAAAATTGATGTTTCACGTGGTAGTTTTGAGTAAACAGACGCAATTTCCCAAAAGCCATTGCAACGGCGCCAGTTGTCAGATGCCTTCCAAATGTAAATGCAACAAAGTGATGCTTTATGGAGGCAGGTATCGGCACTTAAGAACCCTGCTACCAAATGGAGAGGAAATTGGAGGCTTTTCGCAAAAGAAAGTCGTGAAGCAAAACGATGTGGTGTTTCACGATACAGTCTTCGCATTTGGCGGTTTGCTTTCATAATTAACTCTAGAGCCCCGTTCGCTCATAGATGACGTCGTACGTCCCCGAAGGCAATGACGAAAAATGAAAAAATAATAATTCGCGTGTCTGTTTCAATGCGAATACACGCCACCAGATACCAGACCCGCACCACCCCACCCTCTCCTCCGTGTACTGTGGAAAGGCACGTTGCAGTGGTGCACGGCGTCTACGCCCACTGAGGTGCCGCTGCTCATTTTCCTGCGGGAAACACTCATCACGGCACGGCAAGCAAGAAAAAGCAGGCAAGGCAGACAGGCTGGAAGGGAAAGATCAGGCGCGTCCGAGTTCCATCAGCGACGTACATCGTGACAAATGATGGCCCAGCACTGAAAAACGACAAGGCCGCCGGGTTGCTTCGCTCTGTCACCGCTAAAGCCCGTTGTTGTTGTGTGCGTGCGTGTGTGTGTGAGAGTGCTTGCGTTTGATGTGTATGTGTGATTTTATGATTTCCACCCCGGACTTTAGCCGCCATTAGAGCCGAAGCCACCCCATGCCAGGAATGGAATTCGTATGACTGGACTGATTACCGGAGGACCGCTCTTGTCAACCTGCCGAGGAAATCGACGTGAGCTCTTGGTCGCCTGCTGCCTCGACGCTGCCGCAGACAGCGACACTACCACACCGCTCGGATCGTTAAAAGCCTACCGCTGTCCGAACCTTCCAGCACCTGGACACATCGAAACCGCTCTGTCTGCTGGCTGTGTATAGATAACACGAACGTGCCACCGTGTGCTTCTTGCTGCCTGTATAATGCCGACACATTTGCGTTTCCGGAGAAGGTCATACCTTGGACTTTTATTCCTTTTTTCGCTTTCAACCTCGGCACTGTATTTCATCTACTCCGCACCTGGTATCGGTAAGTCACATTAATTGTTTTTATATGTCATTATCTTGTTGTGTGAGATCGGCTGGTTAAGTCATGTGTGACAGCCGTTGGGAGTGGAGACATGCGCCTATATGGGCTGAGCCTCTTCAGTTCCCAATCTCTCGACGATGATGATTCCCAACTGGATGGAGCTCAATTCCATTATGATAATGATGATAATGATAAAGTATCACAATGCATAGCTCACTGTGATTAATAGAACTACTGGCTACTGTAATCTGGCTCAAGTTAGCAGGCCTAACTACAATGGTTACACAGCTTAAAAATGCTTTTGGCTTCAATTGTGAGGCCCACTAAACAGTCCAATTCGACCATGTGTGTATTAGGCAAACACCAACTGCAACTCACTGCTTATTGGTGTGCGAAAGGTTACACCGTGACTCACGGGCCTAAATTATGTTTCTCTAACTAATTTCACAAAGAGTTTACTGACAGCCAAGTGATTCAGGCAACCAATATGTGTGGAAACACCAGTGTCAGCCAAATCTCTTCCAATAACTGCATCTCACCCATCCCTTTGATGAAGCTCTCTAATCTTCGGGCATGGTCCAGAACTTATCGTCTGAGATATGAAGAGCCGATCCCAGTTGCTGTTGGAGGATTATTATCCCAGATGCAAGGCTGTAGAAGCTCAAAGGACAGATGAATATATCACACTCATACACTAAAACCTTTTGGTTCACTTGACCTTTCTGTGTAACTTCTCATCTATAATGCTTCCACAAAATACCAGTAGCATAAACACTAGAAAAGTACAATGTACATGTGAGAGGCTTTTTCCATTTACTGCTTGAGTCAGCATCGGTTGGATATCCTGTTGTGCTGGCAGAACAAGGCACTCTTACTAAAGCCGGGCTGCTTTAGTTGGGTGTCATTCATTCTAAATGAACCTGCAAACAAAGCTTGATGGTGACCAAACGTTCAAACAGATTTGAAAATGTGAAACGTAAAGTCCCTGCAAAGTGGAAATGCATTTATTTAAAATATGACACACCTTGGAAAAAAAGTGTTGTCAGCAACCCTGCCAAATTTGACTGATTAAAAAAAAATGGTTATATTAATTGAGGTTTCAGAATCCATTAAAAAAAAAAAAAAACTTTACAGATGTGTCCTCTCTCAAACACTGTGGGTGCGTTCACTGAATTTTGAAAGTGTGACCTGTTGAGATATCAACACTATTTTGTCCAGAGCAACTTTCTAATGAATACACATACCGACATGATTTAGTTGTGAACATCTGTCTGCTTAAAGTGCCTGTTAGCTGGAATATATGCCACCAGGTCTTCTCGGGGCTTTCCATGCCATGACAAGAGGCGCTAGCTTACAAGCCAACAAACAGACTTCAGGGGCACCTCTCGGTTAGTGGATAGGCAGTGAGCCCACCTGCGACATCACCTCATTGCTGTTAAATTTGAATCATAACACTGAGCCATTCTGTAAATTGTAGCATTCTGCAAAGATGCTTTTGGGGTGATGTAAACACATCTAGCTCGTGGTAGAAATGGACTTAGTCATAGTAACTCGGAATTGCGCCAGATAACTGCTGATGTGAACGACGGCGGCCAAGTTGTTATACAGTGAGGGACTGGGACTCTTGCTGGTCAACAAGTCTGTCACTGGGCACCTGTTTTAGCCATACCTAAAATAAATCAGGAACACGGAAACGGGAAAAACACTTGGACACTATATCTCCACAATTCAATACTATGTAGTCATCAATTATCTTCAAACGTGTAAATGTATTTAGAAACAAATCTCCAAATTCACATTACAGGGTCTTTAAGATACTATCATTGTTGGAGCCGAGAGTGATGTTGTAATGCTGAATATGTTTGATTAAACTACAATTTCTTCCATAGTGAAGACTAAGGAAAACATTTCTCTCTTACTCATCAAAATGGCGATTGATCCATTCTTGCTTTTTACCTGCTTTGGATAACAAAAGTCAAAATTGAATCTATTCTCATATGCAAGGCACAATAGTGACAGTAATATCTTGTGTAATTTGTATATCCATGGCCAATTCCATCCTCTTGCGTGTTAGGTCCAGGAATGAAATGGTCACATGGAGTACTCGGGGTTAGAGCAGAACTGAACGAAGACTAGCAGCACCATAGGATTAATTATAAATGGTAACCAGGTGCAATACTGCTTGTCCAGCTATTACTAAAAGCTACTTTTTTTTTCACCAATGGTGCCAGGCCGAGCTCCATCGGGCAAATGAGCTGAGGTTTTGAGGGAGTTGCTTGAAAGCAACATCATCATTTTACTTTAGGCTGAAGGTGGCAACTGGCAAGGCTTACTCTTGATCATTTGGTGAGGTTTCTTTCTGACTCTGTGGTCATCATCAGTAAATGGTTCTAGACTACCTAAGAGAAGCATTTTAAACCATAGCACAACATTAGCGTTCAATTTACTGTACCATCAGAAGAATGTCTTTGTGAGGCACACATTTCCTGCCAGGCCCTCATTGCCTCAGACCCATTCGCAAAAACAGAAGAATTCTGTCTCAGACATCAGATATCAGAGTTTTTAGTATTTGCAAAATGTGAAAAGTCTTGCTTCTATACCTGCTTTAATGTACATCGTCTCATAATTAAAATAATGATAATACAATGATGAATAACAAAATAAAATATGTTCTAATTAAAATATAATAGAGCTCCCTTTAAATTGTTATTTCACACACAGGAGGTGCTGGATTTTATGCCCTCTTGTTCCACATGCTGTGAAGCTGAGGAGAGAGAGGAGCAAGGTCAGTCTCCAATGATCAGTATGAGTGTGTCGGGCTCAGAGATGTTGATGGCTGAGCCACTGAAATAGTGATCTCGCCATCAGTGTATTTGACGTCATTAACACATGCTACAAACTGATTCTGTATCATTCTATTTGAAACTTTTTGAACTAAATTATTGGCATTGATATGATTAGACATTACCTTTGGCACTTTGGCGATCTAATTTCTTATGAAATATGACTTATTTTGGTGGCTATTTTTCAAACTCGGAAGTAAGCATGTTTGAATTCAATGCCACCTCGCAGTTGTAAGCTCACCTCTTGTTGTACAAAAGACAAGGGGTGAAAGTCTACAATTTTAGTGCCAGTATTTTCCAGACAATAAAATGGGGGTGTTGTCAACATGTTGCCAATGAAGGCGCAAAACAGCGTGCTCTGATCATCTTTGAACCTACAAGAGTAGTGTTGATTATGTTTGACTTAAATTTAATTCCACTTGAAACAAAGCATGAAGTGGACATTTCTTGTAATAGTAATAATTCAGCCATACAGAGGGTTCATTTGTCACACGTGCCAATCATGTGATGTCATCTTTAGTAGTTGTCACTATGAAATGACATCATCAAGGAGCGATGTTCTCATTTCCCCAAAACATAACTACATCCTCCCACCTCACTCGTCTGTCAGTCTCGTCTCCTCGATGGAATTAGTGGTGGGAGGAGCTAGCATATAAATAGAAGCAAGGAGGGAGAAACTAGGAAGTTGCAAATAGAACAATGAGATGTGCCCCTACACACGGGCCGTATTTACAGACATTAAAACTGTGCCACATTGAAGTCGTGTTGTGTGCACATTGAATTGAATTGAATACAACTTTATTGTCAAATGTACATACAGCACAGATGAAATTTCTTCCCTCGCAACATAAAATAAGAGGAGCACATGCATGTAACTTCATGGACCATTCACATTAGAAGTCACATTTGTTCTTGTAATGTCGTGTAAAATGGGCTGTAACAAAATTGCAATTGGGAGTCAAACCACACAATGTTTCAATATCAAGCATTTTATCCACCCATCCATACACGTAAATGGATTTGCAAGCACATTGTTGTGACTGGTTGTTCACTGATGTATCAGTTGCTATGCACCTTTATGATGTTACCTTTATTATGTCAAAGGCTTGATGCCTTCCAGTATATAAACTCGGATTACTCAGTGACATGTCAGTACATCGGTCTATCTCCCAGTCAGAGGGTCAACTCTCTTCCGTCTCTTCTGCATCCAGCGCTACTCTCTGCAGTATCATTGTATTTTCATAGATAAAGACTTTTACTTTTCAACTCCTGTGCTTCTGTGTCCAAATCTTGCTCCTTCTGTGACAAAGATTCCTTTAAAAAATACTTAATACTTCTTGTTAATTTACATTTTCACACCAGACATGACAGAATAATTGTATTTTGGATTGTTCTGCAGCATGAGACAGTACTGTCCATGCGATCAAATTTTGCCCATCTGGTAGATCTGTGCTCTTTTAATTTTGGAGTAATATGATGTGAAAAATTGGAGAAGGACCGATTTCTTATTGTGTGTCAGGGGACATTGCAAAGTAAGTCATAGTAAATGGGTAAACATGTAAAGAGGACAAGGGGAGGGATGCAGCCAAGAAAAAGATATTTGCTTCCCTAAGGTTTGTACAAGAGGGAGTTGATTCCAACAAACATGAGCACTGCTTCCTGTGTTCGTCAGGTGGCTTCAGTGCAGAATGCCCCACTTTCACAGCTTAGGTCAATTGTCTCCCCCCTTTCACGGGCTGCCCCTGTCTTTCCCTATTTGTCTGCTGCCACACACTCTCATACACTCAGGCCGCCACCTCTATGGTAACCCAGAGCGTGGATGCTGACTGATGCAGGGTGAGGATGCAGACCACAGCTGGACCCGATTGCAGCTGTTTTTTTTTTTTTCCCCATTATAACATGAGAGAATCCCATTGGTGCGAAAAGCCAGGGAAGACACAAATTCTATTTATAGGTTTGAACACAGATGCATGCACACACACCTTCACATCCGGGGGAAGCGGAGCAGAGGAGACAGGCCAGGTGGCTCCCTTTTGTCTCTGGAGACTAGGCTGATCTCTCCGTTGAAAGGCAGTGTGTAGTTGTGCTCATCTGAATCTGTTTATCTGCTGTTGTAGAAATGTTCCTGCATTTATGTATATATGTATTGATATACAT